GAAAATTCCGACGGAGCATTTGTGAGCAAACGATGAGCAAACGAATGCAAAAAGAAAATATTCAATGTTTTAATATTGGGGGGCCAGCTTCACACGGGTATTTTACCTATATATCTTACCGCGTACAATACAGTAAAATTTTCATTATTATAAATATATATGGTAAAATATTGTGTAATGGGTAATTAAATAATATTATATTCTCATGTACGTAATGTTTTTAAATTATGCACGTTTTACTTTTGCGTTGTAGTGTATAACTATAATTATAACGATATAATCGGGGCTGTTATGACTGTTTTAATCGCCTCTACGCTGGAATTTGCTCGCATGGATTAATACGAAACTGCAAAGACAAATAAAAGATAACTTAAAAAAATTCCTACTCTTAGCGTTATCCAGAACTATGACGAAGACGTAGCAGGATAATAGTTTCGTTTGTGTTTTGCTTTTTTATATTTTATACTTTTCTATTGTTAAAGAAAGGCATGTGCCTGTTGCGTTATGTTTTCTTGTTGATTCATGTCTTTGTAGCCTTGCAATTATGGGAATAATGGGTATACTTGTGCAACTCAAAACGTGCGTTAATTTCTGCAAAAATCTTTACTCTTTTTACAATTCTATATTTACGAAGTAACAATGACTACTGTTCGCGTTAAGGCGCAACGTATAAATGGCGACGAACACGACCGATCGCTACCGGTCGGCATTGCGAGCGCCTTAGTGGACCGGGAAATTACTCGATACACGCTAAGATTGTGGCTAGGTTCCGTTATTCACTATAAATACTGAAAATCTAGTAATAATATAATAATATACGTAACGAACTATAGGTTTTCAATACTTGCAGTGAATAACGGAATGCAGAATGTCAGAATAGCACGCCGCAAAAGCGACATTTTTGAATGACTACACATTACATGAGTGCATTTAGGTATATGCATTTAGTGCAGATATTTATCTTTTATATTTTTAATTTGTTAACTTTTATTTTATTTTTGTATTAATTTTGATATCACTGGTGTAATTAATAGAATATATTTTACATTTTGTTTTATAATAATATATTTTGTAACAATACATTTTGTAATAATAATACATTTTTGAGATAATAAATTTGAGAAATATATTTTGTAAAAAGGCGAGAAAGGTAACTTATTTACAAATTATATTTTTTGCCTTATTAGCTTTTGCGAATATTTCTATAAAATTCCTTGTAATGGAAATCGTTGGCTAATTCATTCTTGATTGATAACATTGCTAAATCAGTTTTAGTGCGTATATAAAAGTGCATGAAAGTACAATTTGATCTCGCAGACTCCTGGTTCGGTATCTTATTATATTTAACGATGAACATTTGTTCATCGAGGGTGGAGACGTAGCCCAAAGGGGATTTGATGCAGCAATAGCGAGATTTTGCGCCGCAATTTTGATTTGACGAGCCGATTCGATATTTACAGACGTCGATTTCTACGCAATCTAGCATTGCTTCTCGATGCATGCGCACGTAGAAACGGATGCTATTTCGGTGCTCGCGGGTGCGCCAGTTGACGTCACGCACATGCGGCTTTCGAGGATGCGATTTAACGCGATAATCGGCTTCCGTGATCGAAACTTTGAGGCGTTAATTTATGAGTTGTGTGTTGCTAAAGTTACGATTGCTCGCGAAAAACAATACGTGCGTCACATATTCAATATATGTATCTATGTGGCATGATATCTCATTTGTTTATCGCCAATTAAAACTGTTATGATCCAAATTAAGCTCATTGCATTAAATTTTTGTGTAATGTAACAGTAAATGTGCCATATACTTCTTATATTAAAGCTATACGTTTTACTTCAGAAAAAATTTCACATAATATACATTTTTTGTATTAGGTTAAATTTTGAAATATTTTAAATATTCAAAATACTTAAAATTCGAGATTAAAAGAAGTTTAGAATAGAAATTTGATAATTCTTTTTTTGTGAGATTAAGACTTACTCAGTATCAGGCACAGGTATCATAGGAGGAGGTAAGCGGCCGTTGTGGTCCAGAAAGTGATTGATCTCAGGTTCCTCTTGTACGGGGGTCTCATAAACGAGTGTTTCCACCATCGACCCTTTGCTCGAGCCGAAGGATACCCTAAACAGTAATCATTCTTGATGAAGCAACAAATACATAGATAAACAAACAAGTTCATTGATAAATTTATAATTAAATTATTACGGAATTATATATATAAACAAATAAATAGGCAGGAATAATATTTTCTCCACATTTTGAGAAACGTCTTTAAAGCTAAATGACTCTTTACTTATTTTGAACATCCTGTATTCGGCGTGCGATCAAAACAGGTCATATGATATCGATCAGTGCATGAAAAATACTTGTTGTAAACCTCAGTTTTCTATCGCGTGACCACAACCGACTGAACCGACGACCGCAAAGATGATATCAAAATCAAAATCTCGCGATCACCATGGCGTCAAATTACGCGCGTGATCAAGATTGACCCGTATATAGAAGTGAATATGCCGCACACAGTTACTCATTACTCGTCTCGGAAATGGCTTCGGTGAAAAACAATCAGAAGAAAATCTTAACAAATTCGTTCAGCAACTGTCCACAAAAATTGCATGTTATATTTATAAAAGAATAATTTTTTAATAATTTTACACATAATAATTACCAAATACGAAGTTTGCAATATCGGTACAGACGTTTCAACTCATGTTTGAGTTTTCTTTAATGTAAAGGCGATAATAGATAGAAAAACAAGTTTGATCCCTTCTTCAACATAGTCAATTATACAAAACTTCTAGTCAAACCATTACAAAAAATAAAATACAGCTCAACAGCTAGATGAGAAGTTATTTACAATGTGATATTATCTATGTGCGTCAAATAATAATAATTTTTTTATTAATATGAACTAACAATAGTATAATCTCAATATTATATTCTTTTAGTAAACAATGTAACTGTTAACTATAACTCATGTGTTGTATGTTGTACATATTAAATTGGTGAATAGAAAATTATAATGTTGAGGTCATTACTATTAGTTGGTGTTTATTGGAATATTTACTGGTGTTTTAAACAGCTAAAGTTCTGATTTTGCAGTCTAAAGTTATTGTTTCTAATAATAGTCTAATATTAATTAATATTAACTAATTCTTTCAGTAAAATTTTACTGCTTTACAATGCTCTACACTTCTAACTGCTATATAATCAGCGACTTTTTGGTGTTTTTCGGTAATAATATACTGATTTATTTTTAGAGAGTATGTCTGACGGTTAGCTTTTCTTTTCATATCCAGAAAAAAATAAAAATCATCCAACAGGACAAAAAATGTATTGTTTGTACTACAGAAGCAGAAAGAATCGCGAACAAAAGATTTAGATTTCAGGTTTAAATGTAAAGAGTGTAACATCGGGCTCTGTATAAGTTATTGTTTTCAGATTTATCACACAAAAACAAACTTTTAATGTATTGCTATTTACTTGAATCATCATTTCGAATAAAAATTTAAAAAAACTCGATCTACTATCTAATTTAACGCTAACTTGAATATCCTGATACAACGTATACCTTAAAGATTCTATAAATAATTATAAACTAGTGTACATTTGAAATTAATTGATGACTAAATCATGACAAGAAACTGGGTTTCACGGAGAAGCGCACATTTCGAATTAATCATTTTTTCTCAAGGATAGTACGATTCTCATAATTAATTCAGGACGTTGTAAATAAACAGAGTTGAAATGATATCGTCAAAGACATCCTGTGTATCGAAAAAAAAAATTTTTTTTAAACGTTTATTTTTGCTCGATCGCAGAAGAATTACTGCATCGAGCCGAGATAATTTTACTCTTACGGCTCAAAAAAGAGCCGCAGCGGCAGTCGATTAGCGAGAGGTATAGTCTGTTCGGTTGAAATCGATTATGGAATACTATGGTTCTTGTTTGCAATAGAAAACACTTTCATTTCAATCTCTTCATACTTTTACATAAGTGCATTTTATTAAGCGTTATTATTTATTCATTTTTATGAATTATAAATATGCATAAGAATTTTAATATGAACGAGATATTTAATCTTTATGATATATACAGCGTACTTATGGAAATGTCCAAGTGTCCAATTGGTAAAATTGTATTTCTTATAGTAAAATTCTCCGTATTTTTTTTTTTACAAAATAATAGATTATGACTTTTTACTTTCTAATATTAAACAATATCAATAATTAAGCTTTAAACTATAATTGAATCGATCGTTAAGAATGAGAAAATGAAAAAGATATTAAAATATATCAGAAGTAAATGTTATAAATCTCTCCTAAGAGAATAATAAAAGAAGCAATAAAAAATATTTCCATTTTAATCTTTTCGTGCTTCGACACAATTATTTTATTATGTGTTATTATTTAATCTTTTCAAGAATTCTTAAATATGCATATATATATAAGAATTTAAAAAAAATAAACGTTAAATACGCAACAGTATTTCCTAAGTACGCAATAGCGTTTTGGCAACGGATCAGTTTCTTTCTAGAGTGATTCAAGCTACGCGCTGCCAGTATTATTATGAAGAACCTAAATAAACGCTCCTCGAAAATGCATTAATCGGCATAGTGTATTAGATAAATTTCTTTATCACGGAATTTATCGTTAAGAAATGCTTGAAAAGAATTGAAACTCACATTGTTATAATAGAACACAATTTCATCTCTGTAAAGTTAGCATCTTATCTTTTAAAACAATAAATTTTTCTTATAATTCTAAATATACCCTGAAGAGTTTTAGAGTTCCTTAATAAAATTAAAAATAGTTCTGCTAAAAAAAAATCACCGATAAATTTTCGGCGCTAACTTTACGAAATGAAGTACGAAAAATACGATATTTCTTTAAATATGTATTAATTTAAGCGCTTAAAGTTATAATAATTATCGTTAAAATTTTTGAAGTGCTATCTAGGACTCCTACTAGAACTATCGAAACGTTCAAAAATTGTTCAAGTGTTAGAAATTTTTCGATCCGTGATACGAAGTCTCAATAACTTCTCAAACGTTAACTTTACAGCTTCAAGTGTTGATATTTTTTATTAAAATTCTTGTAGTGTTATCCAGAATTATTAACAAAACTATCAAAATCGTCAAAAGTTTTTCACGCCTCGAAAAATTTTTAACATTCGAGGGACGAAAAAGTTTTCAAAGTTTCGGCAGTTTTGTCGATAATTCTAGATAACATCAGAAGAGTATATTTACTACTTATATATCCATATGTACCAGTATATGGGGGTGAAATGACGAAATTGACACGTTCTTAAAAAATATAATTTTTTTTTAATTTTCTATGATAACCAAAGTTTTAGCAAATCTAAAAAAAAAATACTTCTAAAGACTCTTAAAATCATATGATTTTTATTAAAAAAAATTTTTATTTCACTTTCAATAACATTTGCTTTAAAAGAAAAATAATTAAATTTTTTATATGGATATATAAAAATACATATTCACTATTTTAACATAGCTTTCAACATATTACAAGTCCAAAATCAAATGAATAATCAGCGTTTTTTTAGTTTGCTTGTAAAAAACGTAGTAGTATACTTACTGACGGATTTGTTTAAAAACGGACAAATATTTAAATAATGATTATTACTTATAATTTTCAAGCGCCATTGTGAATAAATCATTTAATTTTTACAATATTCAAACTCGATTACAATAAGATCATGTCTTAAAATACACAAAAAAAAAATCGATTGAAAAAGAACTATTCGTCATTATGCAAAACAGTTATAAGAAAATATGAAGTCCATCTAAAGAATCAGTTTGACTCAATATAAATTAAATCCGTGTAGGGCCAAAAAACAGCTTTATTGATACGCCTGCGCCTTCTTTGTTGTCCAAAACAATTCTTGTAAAACAAACTTTGGTTAGAATAACCAAATATATATTAGAACAATTTTTTAATAAAAAAATAAGAAAATTTTTGTTAGTCATATATCAACAAAATCATTGATTATATTACTGATTTTGTTGATATGTACCAAAACATTTCTCTCAGTTTTTATCAGCAAAACGAGAAACTGTGCTTTTGCGTATATCATGTCGACAAGATTGTTATTACGTTGCGGAACCCGTTTAGCTATTTTAATTCAGCTCCGAATATTATTTCAATCATACAGTTTTAATAATATCGTAACATTTGTGACACGTTAAGTGTTAAAACATATATGATCGACAGGATCAAAGTTTTTTTCTACTTCGCGTTTTATTTCACACCGGTTTCGTACTGAAATATCTCTCTCGCTATTTTATGTGTCTTTGGTCAGAATTATTAAATGCATTCAGGAGATGGTCTCGATCGTCTCGGTACGTTTTGTCCGAGCGAGGCTCCGCTCGATGCATTATGACGACCCATCGAAGTCACGGCGAAGTTGACCCTGACCTATCCTTCGTGCAAGTGCCAGCAAAAGTTTCGTACGAGTTGCGAAAATCAGCCTGTAGACTCGACATGTAGTGACGTTCTTTTTTTTCGCGAAAGAGAGGCATTTTATCATGTAAATCCCAATAAACCTGCTGAGAGAGAGAGAGGGGGGGGGGGGAGAGAGAGAGAGCATAAGCGATTTAATTTCAACATTTTTTCCGAGAAAAACAATAACCGTGTTTCGATTTCAAAGATTTGTGATTTTACCTCTATCTGATTATATTTATAACTTTTGATCTTGGATACAACAGATGATAACAGTGTCACGGAATCCTGCATTAAAAAAAAATTTTTAGTTTCTGTGACTATAAAATTACAGGTTGCCATAAAATTGTGATTATTACTTCTATAACGTTATTAATAATAACTATATATATCGTTCTATCAATAAATATATATAGTTAGTAACTGAAATCACTATAAACTTAGTCGTTAAGTAGTAGTTAAATTATAATAATATACAATCTTTTGTATAGCAATTATAATTACAACTATAGTTACTTTTGGTTGCCAAGTATGTATACATTTATATTTATTGATAAACTATACATATAATTATTATTAATAACATTATAGTAGTAATAATCGTAATTACGGTAATATGCAATTATAGTCACAAATACCAAAAATTTTTCTCTCAGAGAGAGAGAGAGAGAGAGAGAGAGAGAATTTATTTAAAAAATAAGCTTAAACTGTGTGGAAATTGTAAGATTCACGCAAAAATGTTATTAGATATCAACATCCACTTTAGCTGAATATGACTTTTGCTTATTTGTATTGAACATTTCTCGATTGAATTTCATTTATAATTGTTTAAAAAATAATTTAACGTTATTTTTTATAGAGTGTACAAGATCTAGACTAGTAACTTCCCGTTTAAGATGATCTTAATTTGAAAAAAATCGCTTTTTTTTATTGCTATCTTCTTCACTTACCTTTTCAGGCTGGCGTGCTTCGCGCCGTTGAGAATCTTGTTCTTACGTTCGCTGCCGGCGGTACTGGCTACGCTGTCGATGCTGTAGAGGCTGTCGTCCTTAGTAACCCTGCTGGCGTTGTGCAGGGTCGATTTCCTCGCGGTTGTCGTCCCATTGTGCTTCGGGCTCTCGACCGGTCGAGGGAAACCGTGCCGGGCGACAGGATCGCTGCCAGTCGGATCCTCGATCTTGGTGGAGACGATCATCGCTCTAGTCGTGTCCGTGCATTTTCTGGGAGATGTGCTCACTACAGTGGTGCTCTTTTGCAGCTTGCTGGTCGTGCGATAATTGTTCTGTTGGCTGCTGGGTTCGCCGGGCGGTGGCTTGTCCTCCGTCGGCAACATGTACGACAACATTGTCCCTTTTTCTTTCACCTGGGTACACGGGAAGCAAACACGTAGGCGGAAATTCAGTACGATTGCCGTGGAAGATCGGCGGAGTCATTAACCAGGTAGGCACGATGATGAGAAAAATACGTAGCGATATAAAAGAGATCAATTGAGAGTCGTTATAGAAACGGATAGAAAAAGTATACTGTTCACAGTAATAAGAGCATGACGGTAAGCTGCTTGATTAATGCTTCGAGACACATAGTTGGAAGTTAACAACATACCACTCGCAACAATTAGGAAAGATTCGGACGATTCTATAGTTCGACTCAAATGTCAGCGATTAGGAAAAATCAAAGTAGCATGTTCCGACAGACATATTCATTTAATGTCTCGAATTTGGATACTGAGAGAAATTTTTGAAATTTCAAATATTTCTATCTAGATGTTATCATTTTCTGAAGAAATAGTCATATAATTGTTTTGAGTAGGATAATCTTAAAGAAGATTTATTTCTCAAAATAATCCTTTTTAAAAGATATACATATATGAACAATATACAAAAATGAAGTTTGTACCATTAAAAAAATAAAAAGTGCTTTAAAATTTGCAGTTTTAATTAAATACACATTAATTTCCACATCTCAATAATCTAGTAAACCGCAAAAAAGATTGCAAAAAAATTTTAATCAAATATCGAATTAAATTATCGAGAAACATTTGGTTCCGTTGAGAATGCGGAACAATAGCGAGTATATTCTTCGAGTATTAAGAGGATTAAGTCGAGTAGTTAAGTAGTTCAATATCTCGTGACGGTCAAGTGATTATATGAAATCACGTGTGTCGCAGCGCTTACATTATATTCTGGGTATATATAACGAAGAGCATTATTATTAGCGCGATAAGTCAACCGTCTCCTGTCAAACTAGTTTGTCGTATCGCGAGTCTCCCGCGGATGAGCGTCATCGCCGTTATCATTAGCAGATAACTGTATCGAATCCGTCCTCCTCGATGTAATGCAAATACTCGCAATGAATCGGAATGAGAGAGCGGACACAAAAAAAAAACGATTCGCTTTAAATGTGTTTACACAGTCACTGACCGACAGATCCGATTTCCTATCTTCAGGCGTCTTCGATAATAAAACCTGCGATATCGGTTATACAAAAAGAAATGTCGAAGAGAACGTCGATTGGCTAGATTTGAATGTTTAACAGTATTGTTGATAAATGGAAACTGACACGTGAAAAGATCGTAATTGAAGAGATGGCTCCTTTTGTCTACGAATCGATTGCCTACAATATCGTTTGCCTACATCACTTTTACCGACAGTTCGTTTGCGTACAAAAATTATTGCTTTCAAATTATTTTTCCAATATTTCGCCATATTGAACAAAAATTGAATACCCAATATTGTCCCAATATTGATTCAACAATTCCTGCAGGAACAACTGCAATGATTAAACCTCTTTATACCTTCGTCTTCTAAATTTGAAAAAATTTCATACATTTTTCAGATACAGTTATTTTGTATAATTACAATGTAAACTTGCATTTAGGAAACAACATTACCAAACTTTAATCGTTTATTCATAATTAGTTATCTTCTCAGCTTATAAACTATTTGTCGTGGAACAAAAGTGGTACATTAACAAGATAAATCACTTAACTTTGATAATCCCGTAGATCATTGTTTAAAAAAATGTTAAACTATGTGCGCATTATGCAATATAGCAATCACAAAGTGTATTAGGCAAATTTTTTGTATATAAAAAAATATGTCTATTATTTTTTACTATTCTACAAATATACAAAGTTTTATTAAAGTTTCAGGGAATCTCACAGAAAGGTAGGTTTATTTGTTAGTTATACAAACACACAATCAGTATTGTTCGTTCAAGTAATCTTAGATCCACTGAATAGTTATATTATTCATACACTGAGAAAAAAGTTATTAACTTGACTGAGTGCTTTTAATTCGTAGTGATTATGTAGTACAAGTATTTATATATTTATTTTCAATAAATTAAATACAATATTATACATGAGGCATGTCAACATGTTATTTATTTAAATTAACAAATATTGGCTTGACAACTCGTAACCGTTGTATTTAGTTGAATCAACTAATATTTTTTGAAAACAAAACTTTTTTCTCAGTGTATAAACTATAAAGTTTTTATGTTAATAACTTTAGGTAATAGTCATACGAGTAAAAAATAAACAAATTTTTTTTATTTTTGTGCGATTTTCTTATGAAAATCACACGACATACCTGGACTTTCTAGTGCATATTTTAATTCTGTAAAAAAATGTTGCAATCCGTGAAGCCAGTTCGAAAATTTTGATTGCACTGTAATTCGTAGTAATTGCCGTCGCTCCAACATCCCTTAAACTCAATTTCTCGGTTTTACGCTTGAATGCACTTGCATCTACGTTGCTCGTTTCTCACGCGTGCGATTTCGCATGCGCGTTGCCGCAAATTTGTGTCTCGCGACTCGCGACTGCTTCCGCGACTCAACACACTCGCTCACTCGTACCGACGCTTGTGCGCTTAAATCGCATCATACGATTCCATTTAATGATTATTTCAACCAAGGTGATCGCACTAATGGCATTAATGGACGATCGAAACCTTTGAAATTATTTCAACCCCTTTTCGATAAAGTACATGTTATTATTTCTATGTTGCGTTTGTGTTTCTCGAAAGTTAAAATGTGGAAACCACATCTTGACATGCATTCTGACTTTTTTTTTATTTTAAACAGTAGTTTCGAAATTTCAGGGTCACTAATGTCTCTAACGCGAATGCTTGTTACTTTTGGTGCAGCAGCAAGTAGCTTCCGTTACGCGGCGGATGGCGAGAAGAGAAAAGGAATGTTTGCCAGCAGAAAGCCGAACCGCGACTGAGCGTGACGCAAAAGCGAGGCAAAGGTTACAAGACAGACGGCCGACTATAGCTACATCTGCTCTACTCCGCTTTAGTTGTCCGCTGCTCTCCGTTCTACATGTTGTTTCTAGTCGCTCAATTCGTCTTCCCTATAGCTAGTCTTTCCACTTAACCAAATCTTAATGAAGAAATTATGTAATAATATGCTATTTATACGCTTTCCAAATCCACAAGAACAGATTTTCCGCTCATTTCGTTTAGCCAAAAAAAAACTTTTTTGTGAGGGGGGACTGAGTATAGTAGACGTACTTACGTTCGCGCCAAGAAGTACTTGAAACAAGGATGTCCGAAATGTCTTCTTGATAGAGTAGCATTGGGACTACCTGAAACATTTGTAATCGACAAATACGAACGTTTATTTTCTTTCCCTCTTTTTCTTTAATAAATTATCTTTATTTTAGAAATTTATGAAACATACGTATACGTATATGTTTCAAAAATTTCTCTTAGGGATATGTCGGGGTCATTTTTACAAATGTATTAATATTTACACTTTATAAATAAAGTATATACGTATAAAGATTGTATTTATAACATTCTGTTTATTATTGAATAACACGTTTTTATAGTTTATTTATTTGTTTGTCGTTAATTTTATTGTTATAAACTAAAATATAAAAAATGATAAAAATCTAAATTTTTTAAATTAATATTTTAAGTATTCTCAAAATAACTTATGCAAAGTTTCATTGCAATTCACTGATGAGTTATCAAAGATTTGAAACAAACAAATATTTTATTTATTTACTGGACAATTAGCATCGCAATGTAACTTTATGTAAATAATATCTTGAATACATAAAATACTTATAATAAAAAATTAAGATTTTTGTCATTTATTTTATAATACATTTCTATTACAGCACAGATTAAAAAAATACCACTATATACTTATTTTTTAAAATAACTTATGATCCAGATAGTAAACTGTCAAAAAATTTGTTGTATTACTTTTATAAATACGATTTAGATAATCTTTCATAATTTTGTTATTATTTTAAAATATCTCTAATACATTCTTAAATAAAATTTGTATGTAAAACTATATTAGCATGTACAACAATGCATTTCTGGATTTACGCTTTTCCTATCGTAGTAAGCGCCATCGTAAAATTTTATTTTATAAAGTTATAAACCTTGAAATAAAGTTTAACTTCTACAGAACTGTTTCAATGTTGCCTTTGTCGACACAGTTTTGATTTCAAAATTAATTATTGGAATACATGAGTAACTCTATTTTACACTGAAGACGATCCAATCCTTAGGATTGAAGCATCTATATCTTAAGATTTAATACACTTATCTTAAAACACGAACATGTTGTGACTCACATTGGCTTTATTTTATTTCAATTGATTCATAAAAAAGTAAAACGAGGAAATTTTTGGAAAAACAGCTTCGATTTTCTTTAAAAAAAAAGCGATTTTTCTCGAAGCTAAAATAAATTTTGGAGAGTCATACACAACTAGAATCATATATAAATAGATAAAACTGTGAGAAAAATACGAATATTTTACTTTTCCATTACACATTTGTACTGATAAATAAACTTATATTTTAACGTAAATTGAGATCCCATAATATCTTGAATCTTTGAAACGCCCTATCTCGGGAATTAATGATTGTACGAAATTAAAAAAAAAACTATTTCAAGCTAATTCCATAAGCTTTAAGATTGTTTATGTACATTTTTTACATCCGGTAAACCACAAACAAGTTATCTATTAAAGTTTATTACAACGTAACAATATTTATTCATATCTCGGCAATTATTCATCATTTGTACCAGGCACATCTTGGCGAAGAAAATTGATTACGTACTAATGATTGCAGCTTGATTATATTGTTTCTCAAATGGAGATTGACATTATAATCATTCAGCAGCACTAGATTTGAACATTTTCTCACAAAGTTCTTCCAACATCAAAAACTATATGTCCAACAGTTGTATTTGGCTCGTCGAGCCTTTTAGAAGACACCAGATGAATAAATTTTTTACTAAGGGCAACTTCTGAAACACCAATGCGCTTCGAGAAATGAATAACAAGACTCTTCCTGAAGACATTTGCGCTGTCGAGGGAAAGCTGGCTGACATTTCATGGAGCGAGTTCATTCAGATGCTACAGCAACATTTGAGTGGAATCATTCGAATACCTTTTCGAACTATTGTGTATCTCTCATACAAGACGATCAACTTCGACATCTTATGTGTGGTGAGTACAATAAGTCGATAACAGCGCGGCTTCTAAAGTAAGGCTCCGACGAGCCGATATTTCTAAGGTTGTACGTGATAAGAAAACCATAGGTGTAGGGTGCAGAGTTATTTCGAACTCTGTAGTATATATTCATCGGAGAATTAAAAGAGTCCGGCTTATCCGCTCGATTACTCCGCGTCGGGCAACCGCTGTACGATAACTCCGTTGCACTTATCACCTTCGTGAGAACGTGAGTCACTTTATTTTGTGCTGCGTTCGCCAAGGTTAGGTCGTGCTATGACAAACGCGTGGTGACCATGTTTTTACATGAACGACAAACGATCACGGGATATCGTCTCAAGTTTCTGATAAAAGGGAGAGTAAGAAACTCGAAGATACTCAACAATTCATTCTTATTATTAGTACTAAAAAATAAGTAAGATTTTCACAAATACCGTCAACAAATATATAATTAATATCGAGACTTTTTCGTTTTACGTAGATAATCTATATATAAATTCGGTTTTTATATAACTTGGAAAGCAGAATAATTATATTCTAAAAAATATAGGTGTGGATGTAACACCACATGCGATGTTTATATGATTTTCACCGTAAGTGTTGTAATCATATTAAATCTACCTATATTGACGTTTACATCAACATCAACAATTATGTGGATCTAACACTATACGATGCTTATATAATTCTCATCGTGTTGATAATGATGTAAACACTAATATGATGTGGGCTTAATTAACACCATTAAATCCACACCCTTATTTTTCGAATATATCAAAACGCTATTCACTGACCCAATTTTGAATTCATTAATTTCACGCGTTTGGGAAATATGAAGGTTAAAAACACAACGACGACGAATAGTACATAATGATAACCACCGCGCCAGTTCCGCCGCGATTACGGAGCAATGATGCAATGCGTTTGAGCACCGGAGCGCTAAATTGATAAATTTGCATGCCCCTTCCGTTGCGTTCGCAAGCGGCGTATTCTCGTGCTGCACGACCAAAACGGGCTTCGTCTCGAGAGCAGAATAAATCCTGCCATTCGCATAATGCAAACGAAGCACGGGCGAACTACGATAAATCTACCCTTACGAGTCAGTTCGAAATGTCAGTAGGATCGAGTGCATTAAACAGATGCATAATGCAGCGCATCAACCGAATTAAAACAAATTAATTCGAAATTTTTTCAAAAAGACTTTTAAAAAAATAATTTTTTAAAAGAATTCTTTATGTATTCAATCCATGTAGGAGAATTTGAATTATAAGGTTTCGAGCTAAAGCAGTAAAAAAATTTGAAAAGATGTCTACTCGAAGTCTTACTTTTGGTAGGACAGATAACTTACTTATTTAAAATATATTTATCCTTTCGGTTAGCTTTTTTATATATGAAGAGACTTTCTTTTGGAATTTATCCTGAAAATTGTGGTAATCATAGGACAACATGATACTTCGAAAAATTTTATGTGATTCTCTCTGATATATTAATATTTGCACAATAACAAAGTATAAAAAAGTTTAATTTATTTTATTAAAAAAAATAGTAAAATTTCAATAATTTTAAAATATTGAAATTAAACAGTTCATAATTCTTTATTATTTTGAATTAGAATAGGTGCCAAGTAGTGATAAATATATAAAATAGCCTATATAAATTTTATAATACATCATGATATTTTCAACCTGGTTTAGTCATCTATGAAAATTTTACCATGCAGCATGATAAATGATTGATTATATTCGATGATGTTATCTTTACTAAAACAACACCAAAGTCGTTCACTAGCAAATAGTACGTGTAATCACCGATAGATGGACGCAATGGAGTTCATTTATTTCTTATATTTAAAAAAAAACAACCTAGTATATAGGTGACAAAAGACGGAATATTACGAGATCATTCACCGAGCCTAAATTCGAATTCGAAGACGAAACATAATTAATTGAGAGTTTTACTTCAACAGTACAATTTTCATCTTGGAGTCCCTATCTTGGAGTGTTTACTCGCTCCCTGACTTTTTATTTTGTCTCCTTTCCTTCACATTGCTCCCGCATTTTGTTTAAAATCAACGTTAATGTTCGTTAGTGAATCTTGCTGAAAAAATTCTTTCTTTGTTTGATTGATGATTTACGGCAGAAAAGTTTTACACCAATTTGATTATTGTGATGGAATTTCATAATGCATAAAAAGTAAATAAGTTATTAATGGTTTGACTCTTTTCAAAAAATAAGCTAACGAATTGACTCAACATATCTTTAACAATTTAGGATTTATAACTCTTGTGTACACATTGTGTAAGATTAACCATCATAATTGTCTATCACAGTACATCCAAAATTCGCCGATTGGAATTGGTAACACTAACAATAGTAAGAAGACGAATATGATTACCAATGTCTAGAAAGCTTATGACAGCAAAGACAAAATAACCAAAAAGGATCGATTGTAAAATAATAAATTGATTGGCGAGCGATATGCAAGTTACATTGATGTAAGATTAATATTGTTAGGGAAAAAACTCAGGCAATTTAATTTCATACACGTGTAACTTTTTGTAATCATTTACGATTTCATAATACTGAAGATGGCCTAATTAGAAGGCTGAAACTTTATTATCATTAATGTAGAATGATAAAATGTTTACGCATAAAAATCTAGCGTTGGCTTTTTTATGCTCCTAATTCATTTGATTTATTTTATCATAAAACCTCTATTCTTAATATAGTACAATTTTTTAAATTGTATGTAAACATTCATTAATAAATCCTGATAATCGTAATTATATACAGTGAGTGCAGAAAATATTCGTACAGAGAAAATATTTTTAAAAAACCTTTTTAAAACATAAACATTGCCAGCGAGAAATAACTCATTGAATCGA